CTAATATTACCAACAATATAAGATCTTAGTCTACTTTTAAACCTACTTATGTTATTTATACATTTAAATTCTAATGGCAAACTATTAAATTCTACTAACCCCTTATGGAAGAGGGTATTTTGTACAAAAGACGAGGTTTCATTTGGTATATAAAAATCAGATTTTGCTCTAAAGTAAATTCAACCCCAAGATGCACCAAACGTAAACAGAGACATGAGGCAAGCACGTGAACAGGAACGCTGTAGTAATATAACCAGGATGGCACTAAGGTCGGATATTTCAAATCATAAAATTATTATGTATATTTTTATGATCTTTTTACTGTGTTTATATTTTATGATATTTTTATTATATAGTGGGTAATTATTGGGAAAACTGGAAATCGTCCTATTTTCACCAAAATTGGTATACACACCCTATTTTGAGGTCGTAGATTACGAATCTGACCAAACCTAACCAACCAGCGGTCACTTACCGTTTTCAGAAAAACGAAGAAATAATTTCAACATTGAATTTTCTTTATTTCACACCCCTATAAGTAATAATTTCACTATACTTTTATTATATCATGGTTTAATCTAAAAGCCACGCTTGATTGAAAAATGTCCAAAATTTTAGTGAAAACACTTTCTTAACAAAATAACAAAAGAAAATTGAGATCAGATGGAAGTTTTTATTTCATATTCTTCTTTCTCTCTCCTATGCTTAATGAGAGACAAATATTTAATTTTTTTTTTTTTTTTTTTTTTTTAAATAAATTACCTATTATGAGATCTGACAATAGTTAAAACTCTCACCTATATCCATAAAGTTACGCGGAAGAGTTTTATTATATTGCTTTCAACTTCTATGCTTAGGGGATTGATATTTTTATGTTATATTATATTTTATATTAAAAAGATTAAACCCCTTCGCAAAGAAGTTATATAAAGACTATTCTGGCTTACGAAGTTGCATAGAAAGAGTTTTGATTGTTGGTTTCAACTTCTTTGCGGAGGGTTTAATCTTATTTTTATAATATAACAAAAAAGATTAACACCCTCCACATAGAAGTTGTAACCAATGCAAATAAAACCTGATAAAACTCTTTCGTGCCACTTCGTGGTTATAAATAGTCAGATCTAGTTGGTAAAATAGCAGTTATGGGAAGGAGCCGTTCCTCAGGCGACCGCCTTTTGTAATCCCAGAATGAGCAAAAAAAAATACGCTAAATTTACGTTCAGCATTGGCAACGTTACTTTAAATGCCAGAAACACAACCCAACATTTTCAGTTTGTTTACAAATTTATTTTAAAAGTAAATTTTCTCTATTAATAAAGATTGAGTTAAAAAGTAATAGAAAATAGCAAAAACCTCATTGTTTATTGAATACCTAACAAAACATATTGCTAAAAACATAAAAATATGAAAAATTAAGTAAAATTCTACGTTGAAACTACTTTCGTTTTTCACAGAAAAACATTGAAGACCACTCCAGGAAAAATATTCAGATTCGTAATCTACGACCTCAAAGTAGGGTGTATACCAATTTGGTGAAAATCGGACATTTCCAGTTTTTCTCAATTACCTTTAATTTATTATCAAACTACATATAATTAGTGAAATAAAGTGATGGGAAGGGGGCGGGAATATTAAAATATTACATTACACTTTGGCACGACCGATTTTAACAAATTTGGTGTTTTTTAAAAGGGCTTAATTTGTCCTTTAAAATAATTATCTCTTTATTTGGTACTACTGATTTTTTTTATTTCCATTATTGACAGCAATATCTGAATATCGGTATAAATAGGTATCTGTTTCTATAATACTATTTGCAAAAAATGTAATAATGTAAACGTTTTTACATAATTTAAAAGACCAATTGCATTATAACATAATTTAATACATTTTAGTTGACAAAAAAAGCACTTAGTTTTAACTTGCTTTCGTAGCCTGCTGTATTATCCGTTTTAAAGTATAACGACATTTTTTTTTGAAAAACTAGTCAAATAAAAACTTCTATTTTTAAACATAATATTTATTAACATTAGATTTACAAAATTTATAATTTTATTAACATTTACAAAATAATAATTTTATATAAAATATATAACTTTTGACTTTTTGTAGCAGGTACGTGTGTACTAATTGTAAAAATATTTTATGCAAACATGAATATTATTTTCTCTATTTGTAACTTGTAACTTGTACGAAGTGATCAACAATTATAATTGAAATAGTTGACCGTCCTGATTTTAATCGCTTGGTTGGGAATAAATTTAAAAAGCATTTTTATTTTATCAAATAGTATTCCTTAACGCGTTATGCAAGCCGACCCTGTAAAAAATCTCAACCTCCTACCTCAACGGCTCTATGGCTGGCCGGCCAATCAGGGTAGATTTCGCCGCTGGCTCTCGCCTGACACGTGCTGATCACGCACTGTGCATTTGTTTATACTGGTGCATTTTGAATTTGAATACAGTTTAGTACGGTGGCAATGTACAGGGTGGGTCAAATTCGACGCTTTTAAATGGAAACACCTTTTTCTATAGGAGATAGACAAAAACTAATATCGGTGTCTGAGCTCAATTTTTGTCAAAAACATGATGGTGAAAACCGCATATCGATATCTGTTACCGTTTCGGAGTTACGGGGTGTTTTTCAAAAATATGCATTTTAACAAATCGCTGTAACTTTTTGCTATGGAAAATTTTGTATTTTTACGAAAACATTTTCAAAGCACTTTTTCACGTAGAATTTAATGGTTTAAGTATAATTTTTTTAAAATTAATAATTTAAGAATTATCAACAGAAAATTTGATTTTTATATGGGACACCCTGTATATTTTAATTTATTGAAAAGAATTTAAAATTACCTTTCCAAAATATGACACACTTGGTATTTTGCTCGATTCCTCATCGAGATATAGAGTATATAAAAATTCGCCCGCTTTAAATAAGTAGGCTTTGAACGGCACCGGCTGTAATGCAAAAAAATCTAGCTGTGAGCATCAATTAAAGCGAAAATAATATTTGCTATGAGAGATGCAGAATTTTATAACAATTTAAAATATATTTAACCAACATCAACACATTTAAACTATATCTAATAACAATAAATAGTAAACCAAAACATGAGAGTTTGCTACAGGTGTTCGACATATCGACCGTCTTCTGTTATGGACAGACGGGGCAGTTTTTGAACATTTCTCGCGGAATTCATTAACTTAGTGGAGGTGAAAGATACCCTCTCATAACTGCTAAGTATTTCTAATTCTTGTTTAGATTATACGGAAGAATAAGGAACCTTTATTCTTCCGCAAGTATATCCATAGGATTAGATCCATGGGCACTAAGTCAGGCGGCCTCGACGGCCAACGGCTGGGATCTTGGTTAGCTATTCAATTATTTTTGAAATTGGCTGCAAAAATTTGCTGATAACTTCAGCGTTCAGAGGCGGTGCGTCGTCTTGCTGGAAAAATATGTTTTCGAGTTCCATTAAGAGCATATCATCAATAAGGGGTCCAAAGCCTACTAGTTAAAGTGGCAGACTTTTAAAGATTCTGTATTTCGAAGGGGATTATAACAAAATATCAAGTGTGCTATATTTTTGGAAAGGTAATTTTAAATTCTTTTCAGTTAATTAAAAATATAGAGGGTGTCCCAAATAAAAAATTAATTTTTCTTTTGATAACTCTTAAATTATTAATTAAAAAAAAATATACTTAAACCATTAAATTCTATGTAAAAAGGTGCTTTGGAAATTTTTTCATAGAAATACAAAATTTTCCATAGCAAAAAAGTTACAGCAATTTGTTAAAAATGCACATTTTTGAAAAACACCCCGTAACTCCGAAACGCTAACAGATATCGATATCCGGTTTTTACCATCATGTTTTTGATAAAAATTGAGCTCCAGACACCGATATTAGTTTTCGTCTATCTCCTATAGAAAAGGGTGCTTCCATTTAAAAGCGTCGAATTTGACCCACCCTGTACATCCTGTACAAATTGTAACGTATCTATAATATGATCTGGGTACAACCCATTTTTTATTTTAAATGTAACAATAATTGTATTAAAAAATATAATTTGTCTAACACTTAGTAAGTTTGTTTCATTTAACATGTCTTTTATCCTTTTATATCTATTACACCCTAAAATATCTCTTAAGACACAGTTTTGCTTTTTTTGAAGTATATCAATATTTTCCTTACTAAACATAAACATTATGGTAGAACAGTAGTTTAGATGTGGTAAAATTATAGTTTTATAAATGAGCAGCTTAGTCCAGCTACTTAATTCGTTTCCTATTCTACATATTAGATTGACTTTTTTAGAAATCTTTTTTGTTATGTAATTAGCATGTTCAGCGAATGTCAAATTTTGATCCAGCATTACCCCTAAGTACTTAAATTCTTTCACCTGTTCAATTTTTTTATTGTCTATAACTACGTCAGCATGGATAAAATTATCAATAATATATTATACTTCGATTTTAGTATAATTAATTTAGTTTTTGTAATATTTACACTAAGACTATTAATGCACAGCCATTTATATAGGGGAGACTGGGGCACATTCGGCCCTATAATCGATTTTTTACTACAAAAATGTTCGAGACGATTTTAGGTTCTAATAAAGAATCATTGATAATTGACACATTCTTTACACAGCTATTTTACATGACTAATGTTTTATAACGTTTTACAAAAAAAAAAAATATTTAGTTATAACAGTATGTCTGCATATTGGCTGATTGTGCCCCCTATAGGGGCACAATGGGCCAGTTATTGGGGCAGTTTCGGCACATTGACGTTTTTTGTTAAAACTGTTAAAATAATGCAACCACTTTTAAAAGAAACTTGTTTTTATTATATTAAACATTTTGTAATTGACAACAACTAAATTTTAAAGATTAAAAGTTCAAGTTGTCAAAACTATAAAACAAACAGAAATCTTTAAACTTGAACCATAACAAATAAATTCTAAAACTTCTTTAGAAAAATAGTGGTTTCCTATTTTACATTAATATTATCAAAATTATAAGAAAAAGTTAAACTAGAATCTCTTCTGGACTTAATAGGATTTGTCAATATGGCATACACATCATTTCGTGTACACATTTCTATATCATCCACTTGGGGAAAATGGAATTTATTGGTGTTTGCTCTGCGTCTAAGATACTTCACCTGGTATGTATTATCTGAAATAATATTTTGCACACAACCAATATAATGTATTGTGGTATTTTTCACTGAAAATTTTACTAAAATAAAGTTATTTAATTCTATTTTGTCTTTCTCTTGTAGTGATCCGAAACTTAGGTTTTCCTCTGTCTCACTATCATAGTCCAAACCAGACCCCGATGATTCACTACTAGAGCTTGAAAATACCTTCTTTTTGACCTGTTTTATTTTTTTATTTTTGACTGATTCATTATCTGTGTAAGGTCTCTTCAACTTTCCCTTTTCTTTTTCAATTCTATTCTTTTGCTTTGTTTTCTTGTTTTCTTCTATTTCCTCTATTCTCTTTTTCTCGGGTGTTTCAGTGTAAATTCTTGACTTCCCCTGATTAGCTTTAGGCTTTCTTGGTATAGTTTTGGGTCTAAAAACTTTTGGGAGGGGTCGAACCAATTCAGGAGTTAACATTTCGATTCCTGCATTAGTTTTTACAGAACTCTCACTTGCGACTTCATCAAGAACAGGCAATATCACGGCTTCTTTAGAGGTAGACGGTTGGTTTCTAAAATCTTCTCGTTCAATAAGGTCATTTTCGGTTCCTCCATCCTGTTTCTCAGCTAACGGATTTCCGGTAGGGTCGTTGTCATTAAATACCAAAGTGGCTTCGAAATCTTGGTCTGTAAAAACTAAGGAGTTAACTGGCCATATTCCTGGTTTTTCAAAAGAACTGGTTATGTTACGTGGTATAAATGCTTCTAAAAATGGGATTTTAGTGAGTTTTAGTATAAGTTTAACGGTGACTGTTTTTCCAGGATTACTTGACAACCATTCGTTTAAAGAAACTGAACATTTGCTTTTAAACGGCCCAAAAACTCCAATATCGAGTGGTTGGAGTTTATGCGATGTATGCGGTGGAAATGAAAGAAGAACTACTCCATTTTCCCTTGCATAAAGTATCGCATCCAAAGTTGTATGGGATTCGTGATTATCCATAAGAAGGAGAATTTTATTTTCTCTGTTGCATTTTGTATGTTTTACAATGTGTTCTAGTGTCTTCACAAACAATTCCCCGGTCATCCATCCTGATTTATTTCCAAAAGCGGCACTTAATGCAGGACTACGTTCCAGATACTCTTCTATATTTCTCACTCTCGGGAAAATGTATACAGGAGGAAGTGCAGTTCCTGTTGCGTTGATAATTCCTACTACAGTTACTAATTCTCCTCTCTCGGCCGAAGCAATAAGACCAATTTGTTTTTTCCCTTTTGTAGCTATGACCTTTGGTGGGTTCAATACCGTAATCACACCGGTCTCATCTAGGTTAAAAATTCGTTCAGGTGTAAATTTGTGTTTTTCTAACACGTTCTTGTAATTATTAAAAAATTCATTTACTCGGTTCCTATTAAAACCCAATCCTCTTGCCAAACTTGTACTCTCTGGTTTTCGTAACGACAACGTGCGATTTCGCCTCATAAAACCATACAGCCAGTCAACTCCTGCTTTCTTATGGGTATTCCAGTTTTTTGGGTATTTGCAACTTGGCAGAATTCTTGCGTAGTTATAAACCATGACCCTTACTTGCTCATAAGTTAAGCCATAATTCATATTTGAGCATTGCTTCAAATAATTTACCAGCTTTTCTTCTTGCGTTGTCGAAAAAACTTTTCTAGTAGCGTATTTACCTAGAACAAGAAAATAAATTCCTATTACAATCTGGCCATCAAAAAAATTAATTAAAGAGCGAACAAAGCAGAAGTAATTATTTTTGTTTACCCTTCTCTTGCAAATCCGATTCACTCTCATAGCCATCATCATCAGTTCTTTGCAAATACTCTTCGACGTTCATAGTTCTTAATATCTGTTTTATTCGGGACTGCAAAGTTTGCTTTTTAATGCCATAAACTCGAACAGCTTCTCTTTGAGACATGTTTTTGGATAAAACTTCTCTCAAGGCCTGCCGCCCCCCATTGTATCTTCATTTATATTAGCCCTATTTGTTTTGGGCTTATAATTGCGAACCATCTATAAAATTGTACAATACATTTAGGATGTGGGGTACTTTTGGCCACCGGGGGGTACTTTCGGCCACCGGCCGAAGGTGCCCCACTAACAGTGCTGAAAGTGCCCCAACCGGTTTTTTAAAATAAAAATTTATTTAGCACTGAAATGGGATAAATTATAGGTTATGTTAATATAAACAGTTAAACTACATATACCAAAGCTAATATAACTCGATTTTGGAAAAACTGGGATGAATATAAACAGGTAATATGCCATAAATAAAAATATTAGCGAAACTTACCTTTTTCTGCCAAAATCTCTGTTTTCTGAATAAAAACCTCTTGACCTTCAACTAAACACATGTGACGAATATTTTATCTGGCGGGGGTTTGTTGCCAACTTTTAAGAACAAAATCGGCGCGAAAACTTTAAAATTCAAATTTTTATAACTGACGGCTGATTGTGCCCCATGGCCGAACGTGCCCCACTCTCCCCTACTCGATTTAAATCTTCAATTAGTGCCGTGACAATTTTATCAATATTTTCACTTTCAAAGTACAGAATAGTGTCATCGGCAAATAATTGAATTTTACACTTTTTAACCACTTTTACTATATCGTTTATATACAGTACAAACAAATCAGGGCCCAGCACAGTTCCTTGCGGAACTCCATTGTCATTCACCAACACTGAAGATACTACATTATTATATTTGGTTACTTCTGATCTCCTTAGTAAATACTCTGAGAACCATTTTAGCACATTCTGTCCAAAATTGTATTTTATTAGTTTCTTTATCAGAAGATCTCGATTTATAGTTTCAAATGCGCGGCGAAAGTCAATGAACATTATACCGACAAATTTCTTTTTCCCAATCACATTTTTCCAGCTGGAAATTACTGATTGTAGAGCACTTTCACAGGAATGTTTCTTTCTAAACCCAGCTTGAACTGGAGTAAGGATTTTATTTCTTCCACAAATTTTCTCATTTGATCACTCACCACTGTTTCTAAAAGTTTTTCACATGTAGACACCATATTGATTGGACGAAACTCATCACACTTGTTGGTATTATTAACTTTTTCTATTGGTATTATCATTGATGTTTTCCACTCTTTGGGGAAGCAACCTTTTTCTAAACTGGTATTAATGACTTCTAAAAAACGATGACCAATTACTTCATATGAGCTCTTGAGGATCTTTGTATTGATTCCTTCAGTACTACTTTTTTGTCTTTCATACCTCCGACAACACTCTTCAGCTCTGTAAATGTTTGTATTTGGAAACTTTCAAAATGTTTTTTTGGACTCTCTATATTTTCTAATATATCTTCAATGTCTTCTATTCCTCCTCCCACGTTTTTCATGAGGAAATCTATACTCTCTATAAAGTAGTTATTAAATTGTTATGCAATTATTTTATTGTCAGATTCCAATTTCCCATCAAAATTAATACCTTTATTGTTTTTACTTTTATTTTTATTTGAAATAATACTTTTTAAACTTCTCCACATTTCCTTAGAATCCCCCTTACATTCATCAATCTTTTCATGATAGTATGCCTGCTTCCTATCTTTTATTATTTGAACAACGGCATTTCTTTTTTGTTTAAACTTAGTCCAATCTTCTACATCTCCCGTTATTATTGCTCTTTTGTAAAATCTATCACGTTCCGTGATTTCCATTTTTATTTCTGGAGTCCACCATTTTTTATTACCCCATTTATTGGTAGTTATTCTTTCTTTGAGTGGAGCATGTTTATTTAAATTTTCCATTATGCCCTTCACCAAACAATTCGCCATTATGTCAATATTTCCATTACCATCCGGCCACGCCATATCCATAAGATCTAACTGGAATTCTAGCTCATTAAAGTTCCTCATATCTCTATAAATTTCTTTATTTTGTCCAAGTTCTGTAGAAGGAAGGTTCACAGTAAGTATTGAATGATCCGCTATTTTTGGTGTAAGATGTATCTGATGGTTAACTTCTTTATCATTTGTTATTATAAGATCAATTATTGTAGCACTAGTTGGAGTAATTCTTGTAAAATTTTGTACAATTTGGGACAATCCACTTCTTTCTATTATATTGTTCAGTTTTTTTGAATAGTATGTTTCCTTTGCTAGATTTATGTTTAGGTCTCCAATTAAAATAAATGATTCCGATTTTATGGCATAATTATTGAGAACTTCCTCCAATTTATCCAAAAAAGCACTATTTGAGTTTGGGGAGTGGTAAACATTTATGATATTAAATCTATGCCGGCCAACACTCAAACTGACTCCCACCAGCCACAAATTTTTGTTAACCACCATATTTATCACGGTTTTAAAGCGCATCTCCTCCCTAATGTAGATTGAAGATTGAAGCACCTCCTGTGTGTCGGCTCGATGATAGTGCATGTGTTACATTGTACCCATCAATTTTGACTTCATTTTCAAGCATTTCCCCAGTTATACGAGTTTCTGTCAAGCAAATCATTATAGGCTTCCACTAATTTACCACCCACTCTAATTCTGTTTTGTGTGCAGTCAAACTTTCAATATTTAAATACATTAAATTGTGATTTTTTAATTGCTATTTATGATTGCCTAATATATCAGGGTAGTCAACTCTCATCTGTAGTTGTTGAAAAACTCTTTTGTAAGCTTCACAATTTCTGTTAAATGCAGTATGTTTAATATCAATGTGGGGAATTTTTAAAACTTCTTTTGCATATTTACAATTTACACATATTTCATTTTTACTTTTACATACCTCTATTTTGTGATGTTCACTACATTTGGGGCAAATTATTTCATTGTTTTTACAATCTCCCGACATATGGCCAAATTTCCAGCATTTGTAGCACTGAATAACATTAACATGATCAAAAAATCTGTATTTTCTCCACCCAATGTGTAGCACTTCTCTTTTAGATATCTGTTTATATGTGTTTAAGTCTACTTCCAATATCACCGAGTGTGACCTGTTTCTTTTGTCTTCATATATACTAATGACTTTCATGCTTCTGTTTTCTTCATCTATCCTTAAACCATTTTGTAAAACTTGCACGAGGCACATATTTACGATGGGTCAGTTTAAAATCACAGAGTTTCTCGACTGACACGATGGAAATATTGCACGAGGCACATATTTACGATGGGTCAGTTTAAAATCACAGAGTTTCTCGACTGACACGATGGAAATATTGCAAAATATTGCACATATTTACGATGGGTCAGCTAATGAATTACTGGATAACACGATGGAAATAGTATGACGTACATACGTATTTGCGATGGGTTGTTTGCCAGTAATGAGCTTAACAAAAATAATTTACATTTAGATTTAGACTGACACGATGGAAATATTGCCAGAAGCACACATTTACGATGGGTCAGCTAATCATTTACTTTTCAATCTAACACGGCCCAGAATGTTATAAAATTAAACTAAATAAAAAAAACAAAAATAGTCTGATTTCTTTATTTTTTTTTATTCAGCCCAATTTACAACTTACAACTGTTTAGTTCTACTAGATTCTGAAAGTCTTCAGGAGTCTAATCAGATGGCCAGTGACGCAACTGGTCCTTAGAACACTTGAGGTTTGCGCGCCCAACTTCCGGATTGAATATCGCTCATTAGCCAATAGTTGTTTAATGACATAATATACCACAGAAGTTTGTTCGGCCAAACTGACAATTTCTTCTACAGTACGTCTGTCCGTTCTGTACCTTCGGGGTATCCGTGAGAGGGGAAACGATATTTTCTCGATGTTTTTCGTAAAAAATTACACGACGCGTCCCATCAATAAAAATTCGACAAATTTGCAAGTAGCCAATAAAATGAGTGGGCGGAGCGATTTGCGGTGACGTACTCGTCAAGTCGACGTATAAAATATATTGCTGTTTAATTAAATGTTTTTTGTCCGCATTCCTATCATAGACACAGGTCCAGCAGACGTACTGTACTTATTCCTAAGACTTATTCTTAGCAAATTTGTTATTGTTCGCAATGTACCGCTCGATTGAAAATCATGGCGGTGTCAAGCGTTATTTTACAAAGAAACTGGCTTTCAACAAAATCAATAGGTTGCAAAGCGTTATTTTACGGAGAGTTCGCTGGATCATCATCAAATTTCTTGCAATAATTTCTACAACCTCAAAAAAAATCGAAAATACTTTTTAAGTTTCCCTAATGGCTACATCTGGAGAGATAATCACAAATACTGATAATTCAATTAATCCTTTCTGTTACATAAACAGCTTGCTTTCTACTACGTTCGTAGTTTTCGATATTTTTACACATTTTTCGGAACGTCAAGTAATACTCGTAGATTTAGTCAGCGTTTCAATATCTCGAACACCGTTATTTATTCTCGTGTTTTTTTATAGTACTTATAGTTATTTATCGGTGAAATTAATACCTCTATAACACGTACTTTTTCTAAACTTCCTGTGATGACGCCTTTTTACAAAAGCCGTCGATTATGAGTAATAAAAATTCGAAACTCTCATGTCATGCGGTACTTAAAAAGGTACCTACACTGTATGTTTATAGTAACAATACATTTTAAGCATTGATCATAATACTTCTTAACAAATTGATCCATGAGTTTGTAGCGTTTTATTTTTCTTTTTATAAAATTCCAAATTTTAATATTGCTGGCGCCATCTATTCGCTAGATGTTAAACTTCATTCAGTACAGGTAGCGGTTCCTTTCCATAAAAACAAATTTCATTCAGTATAGACGATAGAGTTCACTTAATTGCCTTTGGTCATATGACCTGTCAATTGAAGACTTCCGTTTTATGAAAAGGAGGAAGGAGGTTTTTTCCGAGAGATTGAGATCAGAAAAAGACGCGTGGTTCAGCGTCCGACGAATCTCAGAGAAAAGGGCTTTCTGAAACACTTTTCCTAACAGTAAAGGCACGGGTATCCAAAAGTGGAGATTTGAAAACCTGTAGAATATACTGTTCAGAGCCTTCAGTTCAGTTTTTTTTGGCCTTTTCCTGGAATAAGATCACATTATTCGTTTTTTATTTATTTTGATAATGTTTGATTGTGCATTACTGGTTTGGATCAGCATATAGTTTGGCTATATTTTGGAAGGTGTACAGCTGATTTTCAGACCAGTAATCTGGCGTATAAGAAATTGACGTATAAGTAATTGGCATATGAGTAACCACTTTTGAGACAGTATTTATGACTCTACATTTATTCTACTGATATCGAAGACTCCTGCTACTATCGAAGAGTCTACATCCACTTCCGTTAGTCTGGAGACTGCCTGCCTATCTGTTCACTACGTCATAAATTAAAAAAAAAATACAGATAAGTTCTAAGTTCAACACACAAGGTATTCCCTAAATTTTTTTTACTTTGAGATAATATTTTGAATATCTCTGTGAATTGTTGTCATTTATTCCATATATTATAGTCAAAATTTACCTTTTAGTTAACATTATAAGTCATGCTTTGTCCTTAACGGTACGTTTTACTTCAGTATGATCTTTTATGTGAGAATCGCTAACACGGATTCATTTTTGAAGGGTATTGTACACGACTTGTTTCGAAACATCATCGTATTGGTACTTACATAAATTTCACCTGTTTATATATTACGTAGTATAGTATACTGGAGAGAACTTTAACTAAATTTGAGTTTACTTAAAGTAACTAACGATTTCATTGGGATAATTAAAACTGGGTTTAAACTGATTGATAATTGTGTTCGTCTTTAAATAAATGTTCAACGTAGGATAGTTATATCTGACTTTTATTCTTGATGAACATAATAGACCCTTATTGCTGTTGATTATTTTATTTTAGCTATTTCATGATCAAATTTTCTTACTGGTTTCTTACTTTACCTTTTCATACTCAAAGTAAGTGGCGCCCTTTTTACTGTCTTTGACCATTACTATTTGAATACTTAACATCAATTTTAGAATCTTTGCAGCCTATACATTATTACTTTTATTTTATTATTTAACAACATTATTAAGTCACCACAGGTCACAAGCCTTACCTACGAACCCAGCTCTGCTCTAACCCTGAGCAACGGATACCTTTTTCTTTCTGTTTGAGTGATGACAGAAAAAGTCGTCACAAGTTAAAATAAAAATAATGGTTTAATTCACAAAAGATCTTTTTTTCAGTTGTAACGTAACACTGCTTGTCGGAAAACAATCTTAATAAATCAAAACGGCTGCCTTTCGACTTCGACACAAAAGCTTGTAAGATTTTTTTTTGTTTACTTTCTTTATAAAATAATAAACAATTTAAACAACTAACAAAACCATAACTCGTGACAGGATAATTAAAATGTTTTAAAGTATTATATTGTCAGGAAAACAAATATATAATAAATCACAGACTCACCAAATAATCCCTGAAGCATTGACCCTGAGCGGAGGCGTACTTTAATACCTGTCACAATTAAAAGTAAGGATAAGTGTCCAGTTCATAATTCCTACCTACTTAACTGCTATATGCCGATATTGTTTTGCCCTAACTACCTATTATTTATTTTCTATTTATCTTACTAGATGGACTAATTTATCTCTGTCTCTCTCAATACAAGATTTACAAACATATCTATGCAAATGCACTACTTGGCCTTCCGCCCACGCACCCCCTGATGGCGCGGACTCCAGAGTAATCAGCCGCACGGACAACAGAATAAACACAACATATCGATACCGAGATTCGAGGACCCTGGGGGCCTGTTCCCCCCGCTGAAGACCCGGAGGTACCGTCCCAGACATAATAGTAATGTCCGTTGACACACGGCGTACGGAATCCCAGATCCTGCCGTGTGCGACGTTGCGACATTACGAGGATTCGCGTCCCTGCTACTATGACATTACGGGATCCCAGATCCTGCCAAGCAACATTAACGGGCCTATCCTTGCGCTTCCTCAAGCTAAGCAGTACTAACTCTACTGAGAACAGAAATTCACTAATCCACCTAAAGCTTACGTGGCTATCATATTAACTAATTAGGTACTTTATAAAAGAACTATCCAATCTCTCTCTCTCTCTTGATTACAAATTTACTTATCTCATCAAATACTAACGTACTGTCTTGCCCCCGTCCACGCCCCCCCGTGGCACGGTCTAGACGAACCAGAAGACCCGGATACAGCGGCTGAATCTCTCGGGGTCCCGCTCCCGCATCTGGTTACGCCCAGAGGCACAATATAAAAACCGGTGATAACCAGGATTTTACTCCCTACACCGTTGCGACATTACAAGGAATCGCGTCCCTGCTACTATGACATTACGGGATCCCAGATCCTGCCAAGCAACATTAACGGGCCTATCCTTG